AAAAAAATGTATTTTGATAGGCAACGCTTTGAAATGGTTTTGGGGACTTAACACCGGCCATTATCAGCAATCCATTTCAAAAATACATGTAAAATAAAGATGTACTTCATACTTGTTTTTTTTAGTGTACTTCATACTTGTGTTTATGTATATTTGTAGGTAAAATAAAGATCATGAAACAATAAAGTTTAGGGTTTTAATCCTATTCTAACAAACTAGGGCTGCGGTTCTTGACTACCTAGCCTGTTCTATTAAAATAAGCCCAGTTATTCTTTTCTAGTATATATGTTTTTGAAAAGTAGCTTTTGGCTGTATTATAAAAAAGGAAATTAAAAAGATAAGCAAATAAAAATAATTTTCTAACCAATTAAGGATTAATTGGATTCCCTTTCCCAAGCAATCCAGAAGAAAAAAGTTGTTATCATTAGCTGTACCCAAAACCATTTCCTTCACATTATTTGAATAATTCTTATTATAATTAATAGTCATCTCATAACTAACTTAATTTAAGATAATGAGCAAAGGGTTTGGGTTGGTTTAATTTAACTTTAAGTTGGAGCAGACAGAATTTTGTCCCTAGGCTTTAGGTCGAAATTCCTCTCCATTTTTTATAATGAAAATTAGACTATCATCACTAGAAAGTGGTAAGTATTAAACAATTGAAGCTTTAAATTTTGGTGGATTCCACAACTTGTACTTTGAAATGCAAAGATGTGTGCGTTAGGTTTAGTCACTTTTTAAAACAGTAACCAAAAAAATGCCCACCATGCATTTCCTATTGTAATGTCGGTTAAAAATCCATTCTCAGATCTAGTGGCGACCTTTGTGGGTCACGTAGATGGCCATGAATCATCATGGATGACTTAACATCCAATTAATTAAACAATTCAGGTGTGTGTCAGTAATTAAGGCTTTATTAAATATCACTATGATTTAAAAATTTTTATTTTAATTTTTTAAAATAATGAAAATTAAAAATGTTAATTTATTGAGTATAATATTTTAGAATAAATACTCAAAACTCTAAATTTAATTAATTTATAAAACAACCTAATTTTATTGTAGTGTTTTCAAATTAGAAAATCATTTAAGGACAATATTTTTGTATTAATTTATTTTATAAACTTATATTTCATTTAAATGATTAATTTTTTTATTCATTTAAAATATATAATATTTAATATATTTACTTATTTAATAATATGTAAAAATTATATAAAAAGATAACACCAAAGGATTGTTGCTATATCACCACCCTTTTAAGTTTTTGAAAACTAAAATAAAAAACTCAAAACTACAAATATATTAAACCAAACTTAAGAGTTTGAATTTTTATATTAAAATTTTTAATTTTTTAAATCTTGAGATGAGTAGAAAAGGATTTTTTAAAAAATATTTTTTTATTATATAATCTATCATTTAATTTATTATAAAAAAAGAAAAGGAAAAACTCCTCTAATTTTTTTTTTTTTTTTTTGCAGGATAAACCAATTGATTGAAATTCTTATATAAAAAAAGATGAAAGTAGAGAATAAAAGTTTGAATCTTAACCATATAAATGAGGAAGCATCTATGTTAACAAATTCAAAATTGGGTGGAGGAAAATGAGAAGAAAGGAGTGGAACTATATAATTTTTAACTAATTAAACTAAGAAAATAAAATGGACCTTCATTTTGAGTGGACGAACGTCATTTGTTTTCGTTTTCTTTTCTCTTAGTTTCTTCAACCCAACGTGTCTATAGTTGAGAGACTCGTTAACCGTGGGCCTGGGAAAGAAGGAATTACTTGAGGATCTGAAGGATTATTAATTTATCGTATTAATTTGTTGATTATTATTGAAAAACAAAACAAAAAATTGTGAATTATTATATGTGTGCGCCTGTGACATATATCTAGTGATTAGATATACTGCTAAAGGGGCCAAAACATCTGCGCTGTATCACTTTTGCCATATATGTATGACATTATTATGAATTATGTTCTAAAAATATGATTATGAATTATGATATGATATAAAGAAAGGTAAAATGTCGGAATATCAAAAATCATTTTGATTTCTCTATTTGGAAGTCTGTTCAAGGAATTTGACAAAAAAAAAAAAATGATATCTGTTGTATAATCTCTCATCAAATTTATATATAGAAAAAAAAAAATTAGTGGCATGATATTAGTGGCATGTCCTTTTCCAAATTTCCAATTCCAACTAGCCTTCCTTTGAGTTGTCTTTGTGCCTGATGCCGGTGACCGACCATTCCCACCTCCGATCAATCTTTGTCATGGGACTAATTCATGATTTTCCCATTAATTTAAAAAAATACATAAATATCCTTTAATTAAGAAACCCTTCATTATAAACTAACAAACTTCATTAATTCTATTATCCTCCTCACCGTCCTGGGAATAGGAAGTCAAGCATATGATGTCAAGAATAGTGTTGGGAGAACCCGATAGCTAGATAGGGTTTTTGACATAGACCAGAGTCTTTAACTGTCAACAATTGCAGGTTCTTCCCCTCTCCATTATCAGTTTGTAACTTTGTTTGATATCACTGCCAATCTCTTGACACGGATATGACGTTACGTTCTAAAATTACTTAACATAAAACAATTCTTGTTGAATATCATGAATGCCCTACTTAAAAATGATAGAACTTCTCATGTGTCAATGTGAGAGTTTCGTATATAACTTTTTCTCATCCTAAATTTTTCACTGTTAAAAAAAATTGATAAATAAATCTTTCCTACGTTGGTTAATTGAGAAACATGTGGATCTGTGGCAATCATAGTTGTATCTTGTTCACGATTTCTTCTTTTGGGTGAAAGGAAGGGTGGATGACCCACCAAGTTACCATTGCTTGACTTTGATTGAACTGATGAGGAAAAATGGAGCAATATGGGTCCGGTATGGCATATATAGGTACTCGAGGTGTTTTTACAGTTGTCACGGGGCAGAAATGATTTGAATTTGAGATCAAATTGACTTTTCAAATTGAAGAATTATTCTGCATATGATGTGTATTCCAAGCGATGCATGTGCCTTGTCTGGTAACAAGGTGCCAAAATAAACCTTAAAAAGCCCTTCTTGTTTTCGTGGTTTTCATTATGTGGAACTGTTGAAGTTTTCTGTTTGCTCCTTTTATGGGTAGATAGAAACCATACGTTATATATAACCCATTTATGCCTTTATTCTTTCTTTTCTGTTCTTTTTTGAGCTACGTAAGTGGATTTATTTTTTTTGAAAAAAATATATCTCGGCTAAATGAATGATATGATACGCAGCCTACATAACTGAGCTGATCCAACTATTATGTACAGATGCTAGAAGATAAAAGACATATGGAGGGTGACCCATTCTCGGTGGAGTAGCTATCATAACCCAATCATTCATGTTTTGGAAGTTTGAGTCAGCAGCACGATCAGGCATTATGATTTGTTAAACCGTTAAAATATACATAAACCTGAAGATTAATTACTAACTTAGTTAAAATTGAACTTTTGAATCTAAAGATTTATCCTTAAATCTTAATATCTAAGTCTTTACTTTATAGTTAGAATTCGACTCCGATCAACTATTTAAAAAATTTCTTAATCCCCTATAATTCCCCATGTTCAAAAACAAATAAAATTAATAATTTAATTAATAAGAGAATTTACTCTTTATTTTGTTAATAAAAATTTAATTTTTTGCAAGACAAATATCCATAAATCCAAAGATTAATAACTTAGCTAGTAAAAGCGTTTGCTATTTATTTTGTTGATTAAAATTTGATTTTTTTTTCAAGACAAATAAGAAATAATTTCTAATGAATTCTAAGTCCCATAAAAAATTCAACTATATATGAGCATTATGCTTGATGAGATAACTTGAGGTGCTTTATTAGTACACGGTATACGTTTGTTATCAAAAATTGAAAATGAGAATACATGATCACCAAGAACAATAGAAAATGCGCAATGTAGGATACAGAAACAGAACTCCGCAAATATGAATAACTTCTCTATAAGAAAGCCTCTACATATATGACGATAGGCAACATTATGAGATTTATTATGAAATTCAACAATCAACTTGATTTTTCTTTTAATCATTTCGTGCTCTTTATTTCCTCTTAAAGACATGGGAATAACCAAGCATTGGATTTAGAAAGATTGCTCAAGGAAGATGTAATAGAACTCTTACTCTTCAACCTTGTCAGGAGATTTATAGGCTTAATACCGGTGTATAAGTTGCTTGTATGCATCCTTGTTCTTTGAGTAGTTGTTAATTTCAGCCTGAAAATAAGAACCAGTTCTCAGCATCATTATTTGCATGGGACAGGGAGGGAGGTGAACGAATCCCGTAAGCAAAATAAATTTCAGAGAGATTGTTGGCAGGAAAAATTTGTCCAAGGAATTCAAAAGAATCACACATAAGCTCATGTTCATCTACTTTATTTCTAAATAACCTTTTAGAAAGCATGTTTGTACATACCTTTCGAACTCCTTTTATAGCAACTAAAAGCTTTTCACCAATTAGCTCGTGCAAGACATTGTCTTTCTTGAGAGCCTCCAATGATTCAGAAAGTGATAAAGGTAACCTTTTAAGCTTCCCCTCAAGGCTACCCGGGTCTCCACCTGTTCCATTAATCAATACATCAAAATGTGCCACATTATAATGAATTTCAAGTAAAAGCAACACTTATAGAAAGCACATGCCGAAAATAAAAATACAAATTCAATGGAGGTTAATGGGATTTAATGGCGGCTCGCTTTTTGGTTCTCTCTGTTAGTTTTGCTATGCATAATAAAAATTGGCATTGACAAACAGAAACTTGAGATTAACCATTTGGTTGAGTTTATTTATTGCTAAGTGAATGAAATCCTAAATGTCTAGAAAAAAAATTCCTTAATAGCAACAAATCCTGAATAAGGATCTGTTAGTCAGAAAAAGTTAGTTTAATGATTAATAATCACATTTGGTAAACAAAAAGGAAAATGAATCTTACCAACAGGTTCAGGGAGATGAAGTTGCCTCCTCAAACCATCAATTCCAGCGGCAACTATTGCAGCCAAGCCCAAGTGTGGATTTGCACAGCCATCAAAAGATTTAATCTCAAAGTTGCTCACCAAACCGTCTGGTATACCAGGTGGACATGCAGTTCTTAATGCAGCTTCTCTGTTTTCCTTTCCCCAACACTGGTATGCTCCACTCCACATATGAGGTTGTATCCGATCATAACTAGAGATGGCCAGATGAAAAAAAATTCAGAGTAAATTTTTAAGAAGATTAAAGCTTAAACAAAGAAAATTTTTGGATAACCATATATCAACATGAAATTTAGAGCACAATCATATATCATCTTTCATCTCAACCACAGTGCTGGGAAAATATTTCTAAACTAGAAGGCTTAATTTTAATGCCAATAAAGGATTGATTTCTGAAAGTGAAAAAGTTATTAAATGAAAAGAGGGAAGCGTCACTAGAAAGAGATAGAGTAATGCAAAATTCTTGCACAACGTATAAACAAAAACAAAGTTTAGAAGTTTGAGACGAAAGGAGAAACAAGCACATCAAAGTGAATATTTGAAAATTCATATAGAAATGAATCTAGGAGAAAAAGAAAAAAAAAAAAAATATATATATATCAGTCAGAAAAAGTCATGTTCCATGACCATTTCACTCATATAAATTACTATAATCATAAATAGCTTCAACAGAATACTGAAAGATATTTCAGCAGAACAAAAAAACTAAAAAAGTGAAAAAATAAAAACTGTCAATGAATTTTGTATTTTATGGGTTGAGGGGGCAACCTATTTGGAACTGGTGCTGTGAAAGCCAAGATTGAAGGAAGATGATCCAGAACTCCTGCCATGAAGTGCTCCCCAACTGTAGACATTCCATGCTGAGTGGACCCACCAGATCCTATGAAAATGTTTTGTCCATTCTGCCACAAACTGAGATGCACGTGGGATCCAGAACCAATGTCATGCAAATCATACCTGGGGAAGAAAACACAAAGCAGAAACAACAAGGTTACGTAGTTCAACTTAACTCATATTCAATCTACACGCCAAGTAGGTGTCCAAGAAGTGTGAATTAAACTTAAGAAAAACTTAACTCATATTTGCAACAGAGAAAGCAGCCCAAATGGAATTGACAAAAAGGAAAAATAGCCCAAACAGTTAAAAAAATTCAAATCTGATCTTGGATGCTATCATATAAAATAAAAAAAGAAAAAATAGGACCTACTTTGGTACAAAAGTTGCCAGCAACCCATGTCTCCTTGCAACAGCCTTAACAACTTCACGGGCAAAAATCAAATTGTCAGCAGCACGTGTACATGCTGTGTGCCCCAGAGAGAACTCAAACTGACCTTTCCCAGCTTCTGCATGAAACTGCAAATTTCAAAAGCCAAAAGTACTCAACAAAAAGCAGGAAAGACACAAATTGCACAGCCAAAGAATATTATGGGAACTTTTGTTGTTATCAATCTAAAGTGGACATGGTTGAGAAAAGTAACAATAGATTCCCAGAAAATTTTTCATAATAAGTACATAATATGGTCCACATGCAATGTGGTAAAGAAGTAAAAGATGTCGCACTGTCATTGAAAATGAGAGGTATTGTTGCAAGCAATAGAATCCATAAAAAGTAAAGCTAACATTAGCAAAATCACATTTATATTTGTTGACACAGGCATGACATAGCCTTCAGCCCCTGATTTCCACTCTTCAAAAAATGAGTAAACCCCTGTCAGTCTTAGGAACTCCCAAAAACTGAAGATACACAAATTGAAAACAAACCACTTATATATATTTCTTTTGTTTTGCTTTCATTTTCTCTGGCCACTCAGTGAAAAACCAACATATATACTTTCTGTCTTCAAGATTTTTTTTAAAGTGATGATCATGATCGAAGGAGTGTATTGATTCAATAGAGCTAAAAGGTCATTTTCACCATTCAACTATGCCTTGTGCTTGAGTGTGTGTGCACTGCATATTTATCTGTTAAACAAATAGCATAGTGTTTCCAAACTCCTTCCTACTGTTTGGGAAGTTGAACCAACAAAGCAAAAGGCTGAATAGGATACTCAAGTCTACTCAAAAATGATTTCCACATCTTTGATCTTAGTTTGGCTCATGTATTGTGTTAATGAAGAAAATACAAGACCAGAAAGTCAACCAAGATAATCGAACAAACTATTTGTCAACAATCCAATGTAGAAGTTACAAATATAAATCGCCATGGTGATAAAGAAAACAAATATGAATCACCATTAAACTAAGAATAGGAACACATGGATTGGATAATTAAGCAACCATCTTATCATTGCAACAAAAAGATATCAACAATATTAACACATCTTTTACATATGTACCTGTTCAACTTCAATGTTCAAGGAATTAAGATCAGCAACAATTTCATGAAATAAAGGGGAGACAGCATCAAATGCGGCAGTGGAACAGTAAGGCGTTAAGTCAATTGACACCCACTCTTCTTTCCCCTCTCTGCACAACTTTAAAGAAATAATTGTACAGAGTCTATGGTTTCTAAATGACAGAAAAGTATACACCAGAAGTGACTATATGGCATACCTTTCCTGCTTTTTCAAGAGGAAAAACTCATTTTCAAATCCTGCATTCACTTCCTGCATAAATGGAATCCATCATTTGAGCATAAAAAACTTTAACATCACATTTTCAGAAGAGAATGGCTGACCTACCATGTCAAATTCATCTTTCAATACTTTTGTAACCCTTCGTAAGGCCTCCCTAGGACAATATTCCCATGGTTCACCGGGTTTGAGATGCATATTAGCCAAGACCATTTCCTCTCCCTTTGTCCTATTGGGGAAGGGGATGTCATATCAAGTTAATGGAATAATGATATAAATTGAGTAGTAGTAGCAGCAGCAACAGTAGTAGTAGTAGCACAATGTACTGATATAACCTAGCACATCAACCTTAAAAAGCCATTATAACGACAGGATAAGCAGACCACAACTTAACATGCACTTAAATCAGCTTATTGCAGGCACCAAATAACCAAGGTTTGTCAAAAATATTGTCAATGATTGCTTACTTCACTGGAAAGAGAAAAGATGTAACCAAAGTAGCTATGGTATGTTTAACTTATTTACTATTTCAAACTTATGTTGGGCCTGAAACAGTCAAAATTTTCACTTTGGTTCTCCGCTGTTAAACTATCTGACAGCGAAATACAGAACAAAGTATGTTGATGCAGATCATACAAAAGAGGCAAATGGAAATATTATATGTTCTAGTTTATCTCATTTATGTCTCAAAACACAGTACCATGGAATGTTCCTTCTAGTAGATAGATCGGGTATCAGTCTGATCTCGCCCGTCCCAGTGAGATTAGTCTCATCAGCTGGACCATCAACAAGAGAAGACATTCCCATACATGCAAAAGTCAAACCAACACCATTCTTCTTCACAACATCATTGAAGCGTTTTGCTGGAACAACCTGAAATGTATCACAAATTAAAGGGGGGAAAAAACTCTTAAAAATTAATTTCATCCAATCCAGATGAACCGACAAACCATATGAGGAATTCGTTGAACAAAAATCACAACAACTATTGTTCCATATGGTGAATAAAGAACCATAACATCTAAGAACTTCCTAGTTTTCCATATTAAGCTAAGAAAGCTTCCTACTTTCATCATTATTCCTTCAATAACAAGACACCCATCTTTAGTTCCCTCATCAGGAAGAAAAGGGGTTACTCAGAGTAAACATATCAGGACTCAGCAGCAGAATTGACAAACTAAAACCACTCCAAAGCAACCACTTATGCCAAGAAATTAGAAAAGGAAAGCGTACCCGGCATCTGTGTTGTCCAGAAGCATCTACCCATATAATGCGAACAAATGAAACATTGGAATCAACCACCTCCATCTTCTCCAGAGATCTGGCTCTGCCTATTTCCCAATCTCTTCTTTAACTCTGAGTTCGTTGTCACCAACTCCAAGTTCCCGTATTTTTTTCTCTTTTTGAACATTATCATGAAACCAGGTGCCTGCATTTATTAATGATAGCCTGGCTTCACCGCTTTTGACTTTGTGTCCCTGTTTACAGTACACACGCATACTGTAAAATAAAAAACCATTAAATGGGAATTACTCTGGAAAGAGACCAACTCTCATTTCTAAGTAGATGCAATGGGCCTAGAGCTTGTTTCTATTCCACTTTTTAATTTTTTTAATGGTGCCCTGGCTTCACTGCTTTTGACTTTGAATTCTCATATTTAATATGCATTAAACTGTAAAACATTATCTTTCCTCAAAAAAAAAAAAAAAACTGTAAAACATTGTCTCATTAAATGAGAAAGTGCTTCGAAAAAGGGCCAGCTCTTTCTTTATTAAGGAGGTGCAATGGGGCTAAGCTTGTTTTTATTCCATTTTTATTTTGAACTTTTTTAATTTATACCTTAAAAATATAAATTAAGAGATTTTTTTAAAATAATATTTAATTTATTAATTATTTAATTAAATTTATTTATATGATATTAATTTTAAAATTAATATTTATTTTTATATTTTTTTATATAAATTTATTAAAAAATACTTTTAACAAGTGCACTTTAACGGTGGCCTGGCTTCACTGATTTTGACCTTGACTCCCTGCTTATAGCATATGCTGGATTGTAAGACAAGGGACTATTAAATGGGGAAGTGCTTTGGAGAAATACCAGCTTTCTTTTATAAAGAGGTGCAATAAATTTAAAACTTTAAAAGAAAAAAAAATTTCTTTAATATTTTTTGAACAACTACAATTTGGAAATAGAGGAGCAGAGAATTTTAGCATGACAACGTTATAGATTAAACCTTAGTCTTCTTTTCCATTTTTAGAGAAAAAAGAGGGAGAGAATTGTTGTAGTTCATGCTCTTACAATGTCGTTTTCACGTAACTTTGTAGATTAGGCATGCCCTCAACCCACACTAGAATTGGAAAAAGGTCTACTATTATTCAATTTTTAATATTACATTATATTGTGTAAATAAAAATATATATATTAAAACATCTAATTACAATTATTAAATATATAAATTATATTATAAAATTTTATTTTATCAAATTTATCATGTAATCAATATTTTACCAACTGAATCATAAATGAAATTGTTTTAACCTTCCGTTTCTGGTTTGAATAGCCTAACCAATTTAACAAGGGAAACTGCCGGTTCAATTAAATGTTATTAATATATTGTTACGCATTAACACTATAAGGGAAGTAAGATGGCTGATGTGGTAGAGGCCTGAGCCTCCAAGGTTGCAGTCAATATTACTACATTTTTATAATAGAATAAATAAAATTTAATTCAATAAAAATCAAGTAGAAGAAGCACCTATCTACAATTAAGAAGATTATAGGTCGATTCTCCAACGCCATCAATTCATCAATTTTTTTGTTTTTATCTGGATTGTATAATGATAAGTAATTTGTTTTAATTTTTTATTTTACTTTATTTCATTCGTATATCTTATAATTTTAATTAAGATTTTTTATTTTTAATGAAAATATTATTATTAAATTATTTAAATTATTAATCAAACTTTTTAAAAATATTTGAGAACTTTATAAAGTAAATAAAATTTCTGAGCACTGATTTCATAATAGAGTACATTTTCCCTAGTGGCAAGTAAGTTCCTTGAGGCACATGTTTAATTAACTCCTACCGGAGACAAATTTTCGCAACTTTCATGTCAAGTACTAAATGTTGTCGAACGGTTTATTAGTTCTTATTGATTTGAACAATCTTGATGGTTTTAAATGGTTTAATCACTTAAATGGTTTTGAATATACACCCCAGCTGTTTATGTTGACAGGTATAAATTCAACCAATTCAACTATTTGACCGGCTTAGTTTTTAAAAGGGTGGTGATATTTAGATGAATTTTTTATTTTATTTTATTTTTGATATAATTTTTATATATTATTAAATAAATAAATATATTTAATATTATAAATTTTATATAAATTAAAAAAATTAATCATTTTAATGATATGTTAAATTTTACAAAAAATAAGATGAAAATATTATCTTAAAATTATTTTCTTTTTTAAAATAATGTATGTGGTTATTGTTAAATATTTTAATATTTTTAATATCAAAATATCTTAAATTTTTTAATATAAATTATTAAAATTTTAATTTTAAATTATATAATATAGAGATACAGTAAATTAAAGTACAAGATAAGTTGCCTTTTGACTAACCGGGTCTGAGACCCAATGATTGGTTCCCAAGCCTTAGGGTTTAAATGAAGTGGAGGTCAAGATTTCGAGTTCTGTCACCGCCGTGAACTCCACCAACTTGCGACCTAACGGCCACGCATATCATATGAGGGGGTGGAATATTCATCATTTTAAAAAATCTCAGCCGTTAACAAACTAACTCTACTAATTTCCTAACTATTACCTTTATTAAAAAAAAAAAAAAAAAGATAAGTTGCCTTTTATTTAACAATACTATAATTACAAGTTGGCTTGCAATTAAGTCACCTTTTTGGATTCCCCTCCTGTTGGTTTGCAGCAGATTCTTTTTTGGGATAGAGTGGGAGCTATGTTTCCCGGAGCATAGCTTGTTTTAATTAGCTTTGTTTATGATGTAAAAAAAATAATATTATAATTATAATGTTATATAAAATTATAAATTTGTAATTATAATATAATAATATATTATATTATAAATTTATAATGTTATAAAATATTATAATTATAATATTCTCATGCTTTCATTATATAATGCAAAGAAGAAAAAAATTCCATGACATAAAGATTGATTCTAACTTGTCTATTTAATTACCAAAATCCTAAAGGTTAAATTAGTCAAAACCTTTGTAATACGTAACGCAATTGTTAACATAATATTAAAATGAAGTCATACTTCGGAAAGTCTTTACTCTTATTTGACCTTAGGAAATGTGATTCATTGGGGACGTGGCTCTAATTATTACCATACAAAAAATTGTTAAATTTTCAATTACTAGAGTTAGGCCTGCAAACCTTTAGGGATGAAGGTGGAAATAGTGGGGGTTTACCCTATCCATGTTTTTCTAAAATAAAAGTAATGTTAGAATAAGAATGTATAGTATGAAATCAATCAACTTATTAATCGGTGTAGAAATAATTTAAATTTTTTAGATAAAATTTTAAATTTAAATTTTATAAATAAAATAATAAGTACTAAGAGAATTTTATTTTATAAGATTTAACGTAGTTCAGTTTCAAATTAATCAAATTTAATGTGATTTTTAAATATAAAAAAATTAATACATAAAAATTATACAATATAGTAGTATTAGATTTTTGAAACTTTTTAAAGTTACTTATTATAGTATTAAACTAACCATAAAATATAAAATCTTAACTAATACCATGTACAATTGGTGACTGGCATACTTTACTCTTTTCTCTTATTTTAGGACTTGTAATTTTAGATATTTATTAATAATATTTATCTCTCATAAAAAAATTTGTATATATTAACATTCAAAGCATTTATTCTAATTAAAAGTTTCATGTTCGCGCGTTGAAGTAAAGTGGCACCTTGTTGGTTAAAGCCTACATACTTTTTTATTGTTAAAGCCTAGGTAATAAGGATAAGGGTTTGCACTTGGGCCTTCGTTTCAGTGACGTTAAATTACGTATAAGTGTATTTTTTTATTTTTAGGGCAACGGTTTGAATCTGATTCTTTACAAATTTGTTCAAAAAAATAAATAAATAAATAAGGATAAGGGTTTAGCCCACAGGCTTTTGCAGTGTTAGGCCAATAACTTACTGGAAAAATTGTTTCCTAATCAGTGTTTCCAGTAAGGCCTGGGAAAATGTTGAATGGTATTTAGTAAAAAAAAAAAAGTTTAATACTTTAAATTGTACAAAATCACACAATAAAATAAAAGTAAATCTCATATAATACTTTATTATTTAATTTATATTAAACTATAAAATATTAATTATGAAATATTAACAACTCTGTGATAATTGCAAAGATTCTTTAATTTAATAATTAATATTTTATAATTTAAATTATACAACACTTAATTCTTTAGAATAATTATTTCTATATTGAGATTTTTGTACCCAAAATAGGCGGTACAATCGTGGCGCGCAAATGAAACCCATCTCCAAGTTATTAGCATTTAGTTTTGTTAAGGATGTATAAATGGTTTAAAACTTAAAACTGGTATATATTCTTGCCAATAGGAATCAAATAAAATCTTTGGACCACTCAATGAATCCAACAGTTGCTCTTATCATTTTTTGGTAGGCAATCGGTACATTAGAAACTTTATCAATAGGGAAACTCAGATCGCACTATTGGATTAAAGCTATTATGTGGCTGGATTTACTTTCTAAGTGCTGGTATAAGTCTCAACAGGTGTGGCTGTTTCTTTAGCTTACAAATCATTCATGTCTACTTTATATTCAAAGTTAGTCTCTTATAAGAAATACTTTTGAAATGGTCTATTTGGTTTTATTTATAGGGACTTTAGTTAAGTAGATGCTTATTATTTGTATGAACTTGTATGGTTAAAGACTAGCTGTAATGGGTATGCATGAGTACCTATTTATACCAATAGTTAAATACAAGGTAGGCTATTTTTTGATATAAGTTTTGTTTCAAAACTCATATACTTAATTTTTATATGACATTAGAATCAAAACTCTATTCTTCGAAGCCCGAGATTCCATTATAGTTCATGTTTGCATGAAAGGGTAGGCATATCAAGCTGATTTGTTAGTCCTAGATATACATGACAAATTAGATTTACATGTGAGGAGGGACTCTTAAATTTGTATCCTATGATTCATGTGATAGAACTCGAAGTTAATATCGAACTAGCACGTGAGGATTATGTGTCAAGTGAAAAAATTGCACATTAGAAAATAGTATATAAATATGTATAGTAAATGTTATTCTAACTATTACTAATTGGTTTTAACTTAAATACAAATTTAGT